CTCGTTACTACGCGGTATGTCTTCGACAACCGGGTGAGTTGTATTTTCGCCGTGATACTTCCATATAATATAATGTGGACTAAAACCATGTTGAAGTATATGGAATTTCATTATGGCTAGTAGTATAAATTTATTGACATTGCATTTGTTACACGGGCATCTAATTTGACCTTTGTTATCGACATGTGGTTTGGACCTCTCGAGAAAAGATTCAAGTCCTTGTTGGAACAAGGTAGAGTTACGGTTTTCAATAGTAGTCCACGTTTTATCAATAGACATGTTGCAACTGAAACATAAGTTAAGTTTTAGTGTTTACTCTACAAGAAGTAAAACTTGGATTGAATATTTATAACAACCGAATATTTCTTAAATTATTTTTTTTTGTTATAGCATGATACTTTAAACGATAGTATATATATTTGTTATTTATATTATCGTTTTTTTTTTTCATATTTTGATTTGTCAACTTATTTTTGTTTTTATTTTTCTATTTTGATTAATTATAACTTAGTAGATTTAGCGTAGTGTTTTAACTTTTAATTTTTTTTTATTATTAAATTTTACTGTAAATGATATTATATATTTGTTATTTATTTAATTAGTTTATTCTGGTTTATTATTCTTCTTCTTCTTTTTCTTTTTAAAACCTTTTTGACCAATTTTGATTTATCAACTTATTTTAGTTTTTATTTTTCTATTTTGATTAATTATAACTTAGTAGATTTAACATAGCGTTTTAACTTTTAATTTTTTTTATTATTAAATTTTACTTTAAATGATATTATATATTTGTTATTTATTTAATTAGTTTATTATGGTTTATTATTATTCTTCTTCTTTTTCTTTTTAAAACCTTTTTGATCAATTTTGATTTATCAACTTATTTTTGTTTTTAATCTTCTATTTTGATTAATTATAACTTAGTAGATTTAGCATACGTTTTAATTTTTTTTATTATTATTATTATTAAATTTTACTTTAAATGATATTATATATTTATTATTTATTTAATTAGTTTATTATGGTTTTTTTTTTCATTTAAGAACCTTTTTTACGAATGTTTCTTCATTAACTTATAGAAAAAATTATCTATTATGATGTATTCATTTTATTCTTTTAATATACAATAAAATATATTTCTAATAATCATATGAATATTCTTAAATTTTACATACAAATTCATGATGAACATACAATAGTTTCACAATATATATATATATATATATATATATATATATATATATATATATATATATATATATATATATATATATCAATTTCACATATAAATTTATCAAACTCATACATGATCAACAAGTGAATATATATATATATAAACTACTCAATTCATACAAAACATATCAAATTAATCAACTGAAACACACATTCAACCAATTGAAAAAAAAAAAACAATTTTACAGTTCCAGTTTATATCAATCCAAAGAATTCAAAATAATCAAATTCACAGTTTCAGGTTCATAAACCATTTCACAGCAAACCTTCAAAATAAATAATTTTACAGTTTCCATCAATTTAAACTAATCAAACTAACCTGTCTTTGCCAGCAAAATGAAAGCTAGACAGCGGTGAAGCTAGTGAAGCAGCTGGAACGAAAAAAAAACAAATCACTTCAAATAAGAATCGGTGGTGTTAATTGGAGTACAATCGCCGGAGATATGAGCACGAAAACTAACCTCGCCGGAGATATGAGCACGAAATCTAAGCTCCCGTCGGAATTGGAGGACAATCGCTTTGGAGTTAAACCGCCGGTGGGACTCGGTTTTGGAGGACAATCGGCGGTGGGAGAAGGGTTTGTAGCCCAATCAGCGGTGGAGAGCGTTGGGAGTCGCCGGAGTCGCCACAGAAACTGCAATCGCCGGTGGTGTGAAAGAAAGGAGAGGAATGTTCGTCTGGGGAAGACGAACTGGAACATAAAGGGCTAAGCTATTAGCGGCGACGCTAATAGCGGCGACATGTGGCTATTTGCGGCGACAAATTGGAGGGAATCATACGCGCACTTTTTGGCGATTACCAACCGTTGGATTTGGTTGGAATTGTAGGGTCAGATTTCGTTTCAGGGTGCGTCAACGGATCGTCCCCTTTAGCGGAGACATGTCGCCGCTAAAGGTGTCGTCTCTAATGCCTTATCACAGGAAGAAACCCTATCCGTTGGATTATTTTCCAAACCAAGGGTCACGATTGAAAGTAGCGTATCTCCGACGGATCACCGGTGGTTATCTTTAGCGACGCCGCTAATAGCGACGACAGTGGGGTTTTAGAGGCGACATACAGCGCGTCAAGTCTGGTGTCGCCGCTATTGCTTGTGTCGTCCCAAAAAACGTCGTCCCTAATAATCCGAATTCTTGTTGTGCAATATGATTACATCGACGATCTCCATACCCTTCATGGAAAATTTTGATCACAAGAGACTTTTCATTTGATCAACTTGAAGTTGATTAGTACCCAAGATCAACATGTCGTCAAGACAAAGGCCTAATATGGTCTTTACTAAAAATTAAGATGTAAAGTGAGGGTGCTTGTAAGACTTCTCGGTGTGGTGCGGCTTGAGACTGCGCTTCCATGCCAACTCAGCATGGAACACCGCCCCTAGGGTGCGGTTTGTTGCGGTCTAAACCGCGGTGCGGCCCCTCAAGACCGCGTATTCTGATTGGCTGGTCATTTTGACCGTTGAAATTGAAAGATTCTTTTGTTTTTTTTTTCCTTTTTTTTTTCTTTTTCTTTCCTATATATACACATATCAACTTAACTTTTTTATTCACAACATAATCTTCTCTATCTCTCAAAAAATATATATATTTTTTAAATCACTACTCTCCCAAAAATGTCATCTTCTGAAGAATTTCAGACTATTTTTGATACCGCTATTGCGTGTGTTCAAATGGCAGAACAAACATGCAACGTTGTATGTAACAACGCAGCTGCAAGTTCTCAACAGAGAACACGAAGATACATTTACAGAAATCGTGAAGAAGCCAACCAACGTTTGGTACAAGACTATTTTGCAAAGAATGCCACTTACCAAGGGTATTATTTTCGTAGGCGCTTCAGAATGCTCAAAGGTTTATTCGAACGTATAGTTGAAGATGTAACGAGGGAGTGCAGTTTTTTCCAACAACGCCACGATGCTAGAGGTACACCCGGTTTCACTCCGTTACAAAAATGCACGGCGGCACTTCGTCAGTTAGCATATGGCATTCCGCCTGATGCGTTAGACAAAAGTTTTAGGATGTCTGCTAGGATAGCACGAGACAGTCTCCATTTTTTCTGCAAAACTGTCATTCAGTTTTATGGTCCAAAATATTTACGTAAGCCTACACGTAATGACATCTTGCAATTGCAAGCTCATCATGCTAGTGTGCATGGATTTCCTGGAATGCTAGGACGCTTAGATTGTCTCCATTGGGCATGGGAAAATTGCCCTACAGCATATCATGGGCAATTTACCCGAGGTGATCATGGTCACCCAACGGTAATACTTGAAGCAGTTGCATCACAAGATATGTGGATTTGGCATGCTTTTTTTGGTTCTTCTGGTTCGATTAACGACATCAACGTTCTTAACCGTTCACTAATATTTAACAACATATACGATGGATCCGCACCAGATTCTTCTTTTCAAGTGCATGGAACACCATATAAGTATGGTTATTATCTGGTCGATGGAATCTATCCTGAGTATGCTGTGTTTGTTAAATCGTTTTCAGCTCCGCATGGTTCTAGACGAAAGAAATTCAAGAGAGCTCAAGAAAGAGCTAGAAAGGATGTTGAGCGTGCTTTTGGAGCTCTGAAGAAACGGTGGTTCATATTGAAAAAACCAGCAGCTTATTTGGGCGAGGAAAAACTTCAAGAAATCATGTATACATGTATTATATTGCATAACATGATTATTGAAGACGAAGGAAGAGCGATATGTGCGTTTGACGATGAAGAAATCATACCAGAGACACAACCAATAGAAATTGGTGGTGAAGAGTATATAAACAGGAGAGCAGAGATACGTTGCACCGAAACATTTCACAATCTTCGCAATGACTTGGTGGAACACATTTATGGGGTTCAAAACATTAACCTTAATTTGGATCCACCGGATGACCCCGAAGATGAGTTCTCGGAGAACGATTTTATGTAGTTTCCTTTAGTTTTTTTCTTTATGTTTTTTAAGTTTCTAGGGTTATTTAAATGTTATGTGTGTGTGTGTGTTTTTTTTCTTTTTTTTCTTTTTTTTTTGGTAACGCAATGTACTGTTTTTTTTTTTTTTTTTTCAACTAATGAAGAATTATGTTTTTTTATTAAAATAGAAGGTATATTAAATTAAATTAGTTAAAAAAAAAAAAAAAGAAGTTTTATTAAATTAAAATACTTAAAAAAAAACAAAAAAATAAAAAAAATGAAAAGTGTGGCAAGAAACCACACTTGAGTGATAAAAGGTGACATGACGCTGATGTGGCAGAGGAGGGAGTGCGGTTTCGATGACACCACTCCCTCCAGCCTAAAACCAAGCATATGAGTTACTCCAGAAGCCGTAATCATATAAACCATAAAGACCTTTTTTTTTTTCTTTCAAATCGGATAAGAGGCATGCATGCTTATTCACTCAATCTCTTATTGTGTGTCACCTTTAAATGTAACATCTTCTCTCATTCTTGCCTACAAATCACACAACAAACACCCTACCTTTAATACTTTATCAAAAAGACCTAAAAGCATTCATGGGTTGTAACGTACTGGTCACCAATATAATGTACTCCCATATCAAGGACCATTTGGGATATGGTTTAGATAGGGATTAAAGACTACTTTCAGAAGAGACTCATCATTGACTAACAACAAGAAAAAGGTCAAGAAACGAGTTACCAACTCAGTTACATCTTATCTTACAAAGAGAGAAAAAGAAAGATGAAAAAAGTAAAAGTAAAAGTGTGCAAAAAACCGTACAAACTTCTCTCATGATCATGCCCACTGCCACTTTTGTCTGTCACCCTGTGCTTTCAGATACCAACTCTCTTACACTTCTCTCTCTCTCTTCTCTCTTTCTCTCTCTAGAACCCATTATTATGGGTTTCCGTATAAATTTTGTCAGAAAAACAATAGCTGCCATAAAGGCAGCATAGTTGCAGCAGCAGATGCAACAGTCTTTGCAGTCATAATATAGTGCACAACACACACAAACACCTCCCATCTCCTATCTCTTTTTAGAGCAAGAAATCCCCAAGGTTTTTCATCTTTCATTTTATGTTTGTTATCCAAAGAAGAGATTTACGTGATTCAAGATGATGAGTACAGAAGGTGGTGGTGGAAGTGTACGGAGTAACAATGGCGGCAGGTTTCCATTCACACCAAGTCAATGGCAAGAACTCGAACACCAAGCACTCGTCTACAAATACATGATTTCCGGTATGCCAATTCCTCCCGATCTTCTTTTCACCATCAAGAAAAGTCTCGAATCTTCTACGAAGCTCATCCTTCACCACCACCAGCCACCTCATCCTTCAAGTACATCTCTCTCTCTCTCTCTACAATATATATTTCTTGATTTTTGTGTGTAATTATCAAGAATGAACATAAAGATTGAATCTTTTTTGGTTTTTGATCGGATTTGCAGTTGGGTGGAACTGTTTTCAAATGGGTTTTGGAAGAAAGATAGATCCAGAGCCAGGAAGATGTAGAAGAACAGATGGTAAAAAATGGCGATGTTCTAAAGAAGCTTATCCTGATTCCAAATACTGTGAAAGGCACATGCATAGAGGCAGAAACCGTTCAAGAAAGCCTGTGGAAGTCAACTTGTCAACTCATCCCAATTCCAAAACAACACCAACACCAACACCTATTCCAATGATCTCTTCCAAATCCCCAAACTACCCTTCTCCCAACTCACATCCACTTTCTTCTTATTCTAGATCTATGGGGAGTAATGTTTTGTCGTCTCAAGATCACTTCTTGTTGGAATCTAACCCATACAGGTTTGTTTGTGTCTGTTTTTTTTTTTTTTTAAATGCTTAATTTAACCACTTGTACCTTTAGCTTTCTTATCTTTATCTTGTGTTATACATGTAGAAAAAGTTATGGGGGGATGAAAGAGGAGATAGATGAGCATTCATTCTTCTCGGAATCTTCAGGAACAATCAAGAGTAGTGATTCGTGGCAATTGGAACCACTTGCTATCAACAATTCAAACTCATCATTGGCTCACTTAAAGCAGCAAACAAGTTTTTCTGATTATCATCAAAATGGATACTTGCAATATCAACAAGATCAACATCAAGATCAGAGTAGTTATTATAATCATCATCAAATGGGGTTGAAAATTGGGAGAAAAGATGAACCACAGAAAGTCATGCATCATTTTTTTGATGAATGGCCACCAAATGACGAAAATAACCAAGATTCTTCCACGACTCAGCTCTCGATCTCGATTCCAAGTTCTGCTCATGACTTTTTCCTGACCCATAATGGTAATTTCACCGTTTTTTTTTTAACTTGATGGTAAGATATAGTGATGTATTTTATTATTTATTTCTATTGTTTTGTTATTTTGCAGATAAATAAGTGTGATGGATTGTTGAATAGAGGCTAAAGAAGTGTTAACAATAGTAGTTGGTTAGTTTTTCGATGTGTGTGTTGTTACCTTGAAACAGTGTCAAGTAATGAGAACTTTTGCTGTTTTTTTTATTTAATTAGTTTTTTAGTTGGTTTTGTCTTGTTTTGATAATGTGGGGTCAATCAAAACTCTGAAAATTTTGCAGCATATTTTGTATGTTTGCAGAAGTAGATTGACATCTTCTTCAACATCTTTTTGGTTTTTTATTTGTTTTTCTATCTGGTTGCTTCTGTTCCACTCTCAAACTAAGGTAAAAAAACACATCAATAGGACAAAAAAGAAAAATAACATACAAAAATGATTTTTTTAATCCTTACTTTGAACAGTACCCTCAGAATCAGATATATATAAATTTAACATATAAACTTATTCCATTTATATCATTTTCCCACAAATCAAATCAATATTCAATAATAAATAGTTCATCAAATAAATCATTGTATTGTAGCATCAATCACAATATATGAAATTATTCTGAATTAATTGTTACAATTTCGATAAATCAACAAAAATACATGAAAATGGATAGAAAGTATTCATCTCGATTGAAAAGCTAGCTTCCTGGTTGATAATACCTACTAATTGTTTCTTTAAATCAACCCACATATTTCCAAAAAGCAATGGGCCATGTGTTTGTTAATTATTATGGGTTTCTTTCACTATCGTGTCCATATTATTCTCTCTTTATTTTTCGTAATTATTGTGCTACCTTCATCCTTTCCCAATAAGCTTAAAATGACGACATATAAACAAAAAACATTTATCCTTATTAACTAACTAAACGTTTAAAAACTTTTTCAATTGGATACGCATCAATCAAATCGATTATTTTGTGGCAAAATTTGTCCAAGTTTTCATCATTTGATTAGTTCAAAAAAAAACTAACCAAGTTACATGAAGAAACCACCTCGATTGTTGATGATCATACATATTCAATAAATGTAATTATTGAGTTGCTGAATAAAAGAAAAAAGGAAACATACACCACACCACATTCCACCACCAAGGAGTGAATTTGAATGTTTGGTGGGAAGGGGAGTTACATGGCAGAAACTTTAAAGAAGGCACACGCGTGTGACAGAAAAATCTGATCCCTAATAATAATAATAATAATTTTTTTTTTTTTTTTTTGTGTGTGTGTTAGGAGAATCTTCATTTATCACCCAGCTTTAAACACTTGTACTGTACTTTTTATTCAAACCAACCAACACTCTGCACTCTGCTCTGCTATACTCTGCTCTGAAAAAACTCAACACACATAGTGACTGATCTGTGGGACCCCTGACACCACCCTTCTGTCAGATATCACTCACTAAAAAACTGACATCCACCCCCTACCCCTGCTTTTTTTAATTTTAACTTTAGATCCAAATGGGGGATCTGATCCTACTACCTCAAAACATGAACATGTATGCCCACCACGACACCGTTTCTAAATTCTATGGGAGGGTAGGGGGGGCTGTATGGATCACCTCAATAGTTTAGGGACTGAATTTGGAATGTGGATACACACCACATGGTTGCAGAAACAGAAAGAGAGGTTTGGTACAAGTGTACTAACTTTGATGCACGTGATACAACATTTTGATGCTTCCAGTCAAGTCAGTCTCTGACAAAAGTATCTTTCATTCACTGGACAATAATATTCTGTTATACGTGTAGGCATGGGCTTCTTAAGCATATCATAATAATATATCACACTTGAAATTCAAATCATTCCACCTTCAGATTAAGATTCCCCCAAACTTTTACCATTTCGTCTCTCAATTTTACTAATTTTTGTCTAACTGATATAGTCTCAGTTGTGTATAACTTGTTATGTTCTGCTATGTATATAGAAGGGGAAGGGGTACTGAAAGCAAGGTAAAATACGTGGTCCTAATTTGACCATGACCTAATAATAAATGCAAGGGGACTATAATAATAATAATAATAATACACACACTACACCTGCAAATGCACCTGCACACCAGTCCAAAGACAGGCAGCATATTCAATGTACCACCAAACTTGGCATTTGGCAACAAGGGGATTTATTATTCATTATAATAATAATAATAAAAATCAAGGAGTATGAGTCTTTCTTTTAAAGAAACCCCACAACTGATCATCATCCGATCCAACTCAACTACCTTAAATCCCTTTTTTCAGATTGCTTACACGCATATATGAATATGATGGAATTACCAGTATAATGTACAAAACTAAAGTAATTTGTACTAGTAAATAATTATACAATTTTTCAAGTTAATAAAAAAAAAAAAAAAAAAGATACCGAGCAACTGACCTAACTCCCATCTTTGACTATTTATTCTCCATCACTTAGCTGCATCTCAGCAGAGTTGACTCTAACTGGACTGGAACTAGGTTGCCTCTTTTCCGGCTCATCCTCTTCGGATTCTGACCACCCCTGTATTCTTCTTCCTTTATTTGATGAAGGTGCACCACCCTAATACAAACAATACAGAACAAATATCAGCCAAAAAAAAATCTCACTGTGTGTTTGTGTGTGTGAGAGAGGGAGGGGGATATTACTGTGTCGTCATCTGCATCGGAGTCTTCAAGGCCAGCAGCTGCGAGAAGATCTTGTGGATTATCATTATCATCATTATCATTATCGTTTGTTTGATTGTCTGTTTGGTAGTAGTTTGTTTCTTCATAATCTTGTTGATCATCATCCATGGTCTTCTTGTCTCTCTTTCTCTTTTTGTTACTACTCTTTCTTCTTCTCCTTTCGCCACCTTGTCCACCCTCCTCATCCTCTTGACCTCTATCTTTTCTCTTAGACCCACTGCTACTCTTCCAATGTTCCTGTAGTTCGTTTACAACCCAAAAACTACCTTTTTATTTTTAAATTCAACAAACTTATGGAAAAGACTAAGATTCTACCTATAAACACCTTACCTTAATACGCTCTAAATGCTGTTCCTGTTGCATCACCTTTTTCAGCTCATCCTCTTGCTTCCTCTTTTCCAACTGTTTCCAAACACACAACATAAATACAAACACACAAAACAATAATCACAAATTTTTAAAAAAAAAATTAAAAACATAAACCTTGACTTTCTTCTGCTCTTCAGCTAACCGACTCTCTTCCTCACGTATGGCTGCTTGTCTAGCAAGTTCTAGTCTATGTCTATTTTGTTGATCTTCCAGCTCAGCAGCATCACAATGAACTTTTGCAGCCTCAAGCAAATGCTTACAGTATCCAACATGTGTTTCAATTTTCTTCTCATCAAACCCATGGATCTGTAAATTTGAAGCTGCTGATAACTGGCTAAATAACCGAACTGCATTTTTCAGCTCAGCAACCGTTGCTCTCACCTAAAACAAGAAAAGTTTTTTTTTATTATTTATCAACAAAAAAATTATATAAAGTCTGTCACCTACTCACCTCATCAACACTCCTTTTTGTCTTTTGTAATGTAGATGCTGAAAACTTTTGTAAGGTAACACCTGTGTCGAATCTTAATGTGTAATTTGAAGGTGCCAAGTGAATGGCTTTCAGTAATGTCTTTTTACAATCCTGCCATTGTTCGGCTTCATAATGTGTGCGCGCTAAATACAGAAGGATTTGACTGTCTGTGTTGTAGTAAAATTTCCGTAAACAATTTTGATACTGAAACAATAGTTTAAAACAATATTAAAATTTTTTAAAACAAGTTCAGATCATAAAAGTGAAAAAGATAATATGGGGACAAAAGTGAAAAAGATACCATTTTAATGGCTAATGGGAAATTGCCTTGAGCGAAATGAACATGTGCTAAATTTATCCATACGTCTGGCATCTGGACAAAAACACTTCCACTTGCAGCTTCTTGAACCTGATTTGAAGAAATGAAGAGATTATAAATAAATACATAGTAATTACCTGTTTTGAGGTTTTTAATTCAACAAGAATTAAAAAACAGATTTGATAACCTGTGTAAAGAGTTCCTTTGCAATATCAAATTGGCCTTTTTCAGCCAACACCACACCAGCACCATTTGCAGCATACATATTAGCTGGACGCTCTACCAAAACCTGAAAAAAAAAATGTTAGAACATGATTACATTTATGGAAATTAAAGAAGTATATGCTTTGAATTTTGATCATACCTTTGTGTATAATTCCTTGGCTTTTTCTAAATGTGTAGCTTCCAACTTAGGAGCTCTTTTCTCAGATCTTACTGCTGCAAAGTAGTTCCAGTTCCCCTACATTCAATAGAACTTATAAATATGGTAGTTAAATCACAATTACAAAATTGCTGCAATTTGGAACATGTTATTTTACCAGACAAAGAGTAGCATAAGAATCTTTTCCATTAGATGCATCTTTTGCTGCACGAAAGGTGTCTTTTGCCTTCACCCAATCATCATTTTTAAGCTCTAAGTCACCTAACATGCACAATGCATCTGGGTTTTTCTCATCCACCTCCAAAGCATCACGAATCTACATTTTTTTGAAATTAAAAAACAAAACAAATGAATATATAAAAAGATAATATAATGTAAAAAACAATGTCAAGAAGAGATTAAGAACCAGTTCAATGCTGAGTGGGACATTATTTCGTGCTTTGGCGATAGCAGCAAGCCTTAAGTAAGCATCTACATACTCTGGAAACTGAGAGAAAAGAAAAAAAAAGAATTTACATAAATATGTAAAAAAAAAATTAGCACACTCGATATAGATATAAAAATGTAAATTTATTACCTTGAACAAGATGAGACGATATAAAATGCTAGCAGTTTCTGTTTTATGCAACTGTTCAAACAGTCTAGCAAGATTGGACAATGTTGTAATTTTGTCCCATGGTAATTCCACTGAAATACCATTTTTCTCAAGATTATGGAACAATTGCATGTCTTTGTACATTCGAGCAGCTAAACTGGCATCCATTGGTTGATGTAACACCTTTCTGAAAGAATCGGATTGTGCTTCACTATCTATTAGCTTCACCCATATTCCATCACCAAGAGCCTCCTTAAAAGTTTGTTGAGCAAGCTGAATTCAAACATTCAAACATAAAGTATAAAAGAATGTTTGAATGAAACCATATAAACTGATTTTTAAATCCATCAAATATATATGGTGAAAGAAGCAAACCTCGAATTCTCCTCTTTCAAAATGAATGACACCAATATTGTTGAGAAGCTCAATTGATACTTCTTCATTTGCCTTTTTTAAAAGATTCCGTGCCTATCATAAAAACTCAAGCTAAAAAAGATGCAGCAGAGAAATGAAATAAAAACACTGAAAATGATCCAAGAAAAAGGAGACATCAGCTTCTTACAGTTTTAAATGCATCTAAAGCAGCTCCAGAGTCGGTTGAAATCAACAATTCTCCAAGATCAAGGAAGGCCTGCACCATTGTTTAAGATATTAGAATAGCCAAACAGCTTTAATGAAAGAAAAGGAATCATCTGTGTTCATATTGTTTTAGGGTGCTATAACTATTCCATTGAATTCTATGATTCATTCAATCTAGGACACAAGGTAATTAAAAATAACCTCAGGATCACGTGGATCAATTCTGACAGCTTTTTTCAGAGCTTCATGAGCCTTGGTAGGTTGGTTGAGCTGAAGATAGATGTGAGCAACAGCCTGCATAAAATAAGTACAAATTCAGTCAACAGGAAGTTAAAAAGCACGTAGAGTTTAAAGCAAATTTGCTTATATTATTTGCAACTCGCCTTCAATGTCTCACAATTCTCAGGATAAACTTCCAAGACTTTTTCAAAATTTGAAAGAGAGCTTTTAAAGTCTCCCAATTTCAGTTGCACTTGTCCCAAACCATAGAAAGGTAAAATAAACTCCTGAGGCTTATTCACTTCCTTTACAGATGCCATGTAGTACAATCCAGCCTTTTCATAATCACCCTGCATTAACATCCATGTACAAACATCATTGAAAATGTAAAACAAGATGTTGCAAATATATGTACAAAAGTCCAAACCTTGCTATGATATGAGCGTGCAAGGTTATAATAAGAATGTGCCCTTGTTGAGCCATGAGTAGTTGCAGCAAGGGCTGTTTCAGTCAATTGCTCAACAAGAAAATGTTGGCCTGTGAAGAAGAAATGATTTGCCAGATAATTTAGTGCAGTTGCACAGTATGGATAAACATCAAAGGCCCTTTGCATCTTTTCCATTGCTCCCCTAATACCAGAAGCTAATACAACAAGATGACAATATCAATAAGAGTCATAAAAACATACGCTTTACTGTATCAACAAGAAAAAACCAACCTTCATTTGATTGCAAATCCACAATTCCAAGTGCCACAAGGGCCTCAACGTTTTCTGGATCTAACTGCAGTTATAAGTAGTTGAACAATGGACACATATAGACATTAGCAAGTAGCAACCACAGTTGTAGAAAGTAGAAAAACTATAGAAAAAGTAGTTAGCATGACTTACCTGCAACACACGTTCAAATGCTTGTTTTGCCCTCTCAAATTGACCTAATTTGTAGCGACAGAGACCTATGCCAAGTCGAACAGCTGCAGGACATTCAGGGTATATTTGCAAGACCCTCTTTCAAAAGAAAATGAAGAATTAGAATAAAGGGCAAGTAAATACTGTATGGATACAGAAACAGTGATAGCAAATATAGAGTTGCAATGGAAAAGAACCTTGTACATCTCCAATGAACTTGAGTATTTCCCACGATTGAACTCAACACAAGCCTGCATTAACCAAAAGATATGTTATCAGTTAAACTACCAAAAAACAAATGTATAAAGAACTTTATAATAGGAATATACATGGCCAAGAAGGGCAGGAACATTATCTCGGTCTCCATCTAACACAATCTTGAATGCAGAAAAAGCCTGATCCACATCTCCTTTAGCTAGTAAAAGCTGACCTGTAACCAAGTGTATGTGTTCTAAGTTCTTATGGAATATTGGGATCTACTGCATTTGCAAATCTGATTGTGTTTACCTTTGCCAACCCAAGTAGAAGGCTCATGCATATCGATTCTGGAGGCTTTGTTGTAGTATTTTGTAGCCAAAATGAAATGATCTTCTTTTTCTTTTTGTTTTGTCTCGATTTTTCCTAGGTAGCTAAAATAGGCACCAAGGGCATTTAAGATAGCAATTCTTTCATATCTCACGTCTGCATAATATTCGTCGATTTCTGCAAAGCAAACAGGTTAAAGAATATCGATTTTATGTTTAGAGTAACAATTCATTCGATACTATATAAGTCTGTTGATGCTAATCAGTACTTACCTGGACTGGACCCTTCTTCAAGAATTTGGCGAAACTGTTCAACTTTTCCTTGTTTAAAGTACTCCCTCTGCATCAAACCCAAATTTAACAAAAAGTTTGACCTAATTTACGAAAAGGAGAGACCAGGTTTTCCCACAAGGTCCATAATCGCATAGTCGTTGCTCGAAACATCAAATAGTCTTGAATCATCGTGATTGGGATTCAGTAAATTGCACAAAATTGAAATAAGCATGATATATCTCGAGCAAAGTTGTAATCGTTCATGAAACTCAAAATTTTAAGCGGCAACTAAATCTATTAGGTAATACTTAGGAACGAAACTAACCGCGATAATGAGCCAGAGATCGAGAGGCGCTTGTTCGGCCTTAAGAATGTCAAGGATATCAGTTGCGTCTCTAGGAAGTTGGTCCAGAGCCACTCGTACCTCCTCCTCCGAGTTCTGTACCGGAATATACACACAGGCCATTGACTCGAAATTAGGTTTTTGCTCCCGTCGACAGTCACGGAGCGCCGGAGTCTGATTGTCGTCGGAAAGTTATATAAGAATTTTGCAAGGTTTAACAGTGTGGCTGCTCTCGGTATCTCACCAGGGTATTCTTTCTTGCACCCTCACCGGCGTCGTCATCCGCAGTCGTCAAATATTTTGTTTTACCGTTGGAACTTGGAACTATATCGAAAATATTTTCCATATATAAATCGAGTTATGAATTAATGTTTCTACTTTTATGTAGGAAATTATTTTACAAATATATTTCTAACGTAAAACAAAAGATTGTTGAAACCGGAGAATCGCAATTCGACCATAAATTAAAAAAAAAATTATACGACCATAGATTTTTGTTATTTCTATCCTACTCTTACTATATTACTCTTAAATATGTCTGTATCTCTAACGAAACTTGAACCCTCAAATATGCTAGAAACCCTTTGATAGGTTAGGCTTTGACTGATTGTTTTATGTTTTGTAATTTGTAATATTGTCATGTGCAATCAAATTTGTTCGCAAAATATTGTTAGCATTGTATTTGTGTATATTATAGCTCGGTAATACGTCAATTGTAGAATCAATTTTTACTTCTTAAACAATAATCATATTTATTGTAGATGCAAACTAGAATAATTAGTAAGAAAACATTTTAAACAAAATATAATAATAATAAATTAAACAAAATTATCATGATGGTCACGGATAATCAAATTTGTATGACCACAAAGAGACTAATTTACGTATAGCGATGTTTTGCCTCCTTTAAAGTCAATGAAGTTGTGATGTTCTATTTGTGATGTGCAATGCTCGATTTCAAATTGAATGAACATATTTTTAGACTTGATTTCATACTAATTCCACAATTTTTTTCTAGACTTTATATGCAATTTACGAACAACTTTAATAAATAACTTGTATTTAGAAGAATAAAAACTAAAAAGATGAGACCGAATCATATAATAGATCTAATCTTACTACAGAATCGACTAATTGGTATCATTTTTTGTTTGTAGGTCAATTTTTGTTTGTAGGTTAAGATCATTTGTGATTTGGTAGACATGTATTTTCGATAAAAAAAATTATGTGATTTGGTAGACATTTATTTTCGATAAAAAAATTTATGTTTATTTAACAACGTATTCCATGTTAGGATTTTATAAATACAAATTCACTGTGAATCCTATCAGAAGATATACTTAATTTTCAAGACAATTTCTTAATAAATACCATAGTCCATGAATAATTTTTGAAAGCATAGATGATGTTGGGGTTTCAAAATGTTTATTAATTTATCGTGGTTTGATAATGTTAATAATGATTATTAATAATTTGTATTAAAAAAACAATTGTTGATTTAAATAACTCTTTTTTTTTTTTTTTTTGATAAGTTGATAAACTCTTACGTATAACCGCCCCTGTTTTACTGCATTTTTGGGATTTATATTTCTATCCATTTTTCGTATTATGCTTTAATACGTCTAAAAAGACAACAATGGTGCCATTCAACATCTCCAAAAAAAAATTCATAATACTAATTAGATGCAATTTTATGCCTCTCGATATGTTTTTCATTATTACGCTTCTTTGATACAATTTTCTTGCAAAAGATAAACTTTAATGCTATTAATATAATTTTTTATAAAAGATATACTCCTTAATGACATAATGTATAAGAGTTTGTTTGTTTGATAGTCTAGTACCAAATCAAATATGATTGAGTCAACATGATTACTCCCTGATTAAATTCTAAATTTACCATTAACAAATTCAACATCAAACAATGTTTCAAATCTTCAACAATTTACAAAAAAAATTGTAAGTCATCTTCCCTTACAAACAAAACCACCCTTGTATAAAAAGGAAAAACAAACACATTTCATATGGTTCTATGTATACTAAAAGAATACTTACAAACACAACAACTAAATCAAGCTTCTAATCCCAAGTCATCCAAATTCATGCTACACTTCATGCATTAATACCCGAATGAATCTATCACCATGACAAAATTGTGATTTTTTTATCATTATAAATTGTGAGAAATAAATGATCTATGTTACGTTTAATAAAAAAAACTTACTCTAAGTCCCATCAGTAGGCAATGCAGCCATGAAGGAATTATAGGAAGAGTCCAAGTCAAACTGCAGTTGCCTTGACTGCTGTTCAGTCAACTCATCAGCCGCCCCCATTTTTGCCAACCTCCCAATCCACTCCTTCATCTTAGTCTTCCCTTCAAAATCCGGGGGCAAAATCGACATTTTGTTCAACGAACCCAACAAATCAGACAGCAAAGGAAAAACTTGGTCAACAGCCACCATGTTCAGCTTCAAAGTATCCATTGCAGTGATGAAATTTGCAACGCATTCCGCCACAATTGCAGCTGAGCTTCCGCTGGAGGCGGAGGCTGCCGCCCTGTGCTCCACCGTGGCGGGGACGCCGGAGGTTATCAGGCGGTTCATGGCGGCAGAGCAGTCCATTTTGTAAGTATCGTGGAATCTTTCGATACTGGGGACTGTGTCTTTTAGGTTTGATGAAAGTGTTTTGAAATGAGCAATTAGTTTTTGACATTCTGTTTCATAATCAGATGATGAGATTATATCACGAACATATGCTTTTTCCAGTTTTTCTGTGGCTTTGATTATTGCATAAAGTTCAGCAAAATTTTCATACATTTCTCTCTCACGTTTGTCGTTCCATAGCTTCACTTCCATCTATCAAAATGTCAACAACTGAAAACATCTGAATCTCCAATCTAATTCCATAATTGATTGCAAGTTAAGAATATCTAGTGAAGAATTTGATAGCTACAGATGCAAAAAAACTCATTCATCCTGTTTTTCTAATTCTTTCTGGTAACATAAATTGTAAAGCATTTGGAAGTGATTTTCTTAATCACTTCAAAATTAGTCAACGGAGATCAAAACACGCATGTTGTTCTTGTGAATTGTGAGGATATAAAACTTTATAACATTTGATATCACTTTAAGATTAGATTAGTCAACAGAAATTTAAAACATAATATGTGAAAACGTCTGGGGTTCTATTGCACATAAAATCAGACGAAACCAAGATCCAGTTGGGACCAAGTGATCGATCGGAGCAGTTTGAACAATTATTGAATGTTTATCAAGACTGGAAAGCTGATAGAAATCAAGATTAACCTTTATCTTCAATAAACTAGGGTTAAAAAAAATCATAATTCGATCCAAATCAGCAAATTGTATACGAAACTAGGGTTTAATCGTTGATCTATGTAGATTTTGAGCATCGAAATAGATACGACTGATTCAACGAAGCAGAAGATGAGGCCGTTACCTGATTGAATGAACGACAAAGATAAGCAGAGCAACGACCGATGATATGGCGATGAACAGATATGCGAACTGTAGCGTGTACTTCGATGAGTTAGTGTTATGGCGAGGTATAGGGTTTGTCTTCAATAATAAGAAAGATTTGGTCAAGGAAGAACAAAATTCAATCCCTTTTTTAATCCTTCCCTATTACATTTTGATTTTACTTAAATTTAAATTTTAGTCTCCTTGATGGTCGTTTCTGTTTTATTGTTATTCACTGTAACTTTTTTTTTTAAATGACCATCAAGGTCGGGAAACACATAACATTTGAATCAAAAGATCATCATAAACCCTACATATAAATAGGATCACAAAGTAGCATAAAAACCCTATAAAGTTGCATATTTTAGATGGCATGCAGCGTTTTTATTATTAGATGATATTAAACAATTGAAAGTCATTGACATTGATTTTCTTAATCCATGTAATCTAGCAAAACAATTTTGTCAATAGCATTCAACCATAGTGTAGAAATCTTTATGAGTTGGCTTGTGTGTATTTGCAGGTAACAACCTTACATAGAACATGGTACAAAGTTTTTATGTATTTTGTGATATTAGATTGAACTTCTAGATCCAGTGTTAGGAAATTAGACGATACTTGACAAGATTCATAACAAAATCTAATGGCACTTGTTTAGCTATAATACCACTTGTTAGGAAGTAAATCAGAAAACAAACAAAACCAAAAGCACACAGGGCTCACAACAATTCCATAACATGCAACACATGAGTATCAACAACGCACATGATGGAGCACAGTGAGCCACAGTGGAGCATCATGATGCATAGGTAGCACATCATGAACACTAGTGGCCTAACATCCATCATGGTGGCACATAATGGTGTATTCCTTGAGCATCACCAACTTTTAATCATGTGTGGCTCCTCAGGGATACCATGGCACATCAAGGAACCAAAATGGCGCACCTTGCATCAAGATGGTGCATCGACATGATGATGACACATCTTGCATGATGAGGGCCCATCTTGTGCAAAGATGGCGCAACATCCTTCAAGCATGGAGCAACTTCCTTTTAAGTAGCACAACTTCCTTCCAAGGCGGCGTAAGAACTTCTAGGTTGGTGCAACTTCTTCCATTTTGGCACAATATCTACCAGAGTGGTGCAACATTATCTAAAGTAGCGCAACATATATGCTAATGGTGCAACATGCTTACCTAGTGGCGCAACATGCTTGCTAATTGGCCCAACACTTAATCGAATGGCGTAACTATTCATCAAGTTGCTATATTCCACTCCCAAGTGGTCCAAACCTCTTCCCGGTCCTCCATACCCCCCCCCCTTTAGAGAATCTATTCTTTTGACACTTGATTCTTTCCTTTGTCAGTTTATTCATTCCCTTCTCAGATGATCCGTTCCTTTTTTACATGCTCCATAAAGCCTAAGTGCTCCATTGAGTTCCAAGTGCTTTATTGAACTCAAATGCTCCAAATGCTTAAGTTACATTTAATAATTTACACATTGACTTGAGCATCCTCTAAACTCCACCTTAAACAAGAACTTCCTCTCCCTTCCTGCCATCAAGCCCTGAAAGGGCTTGCCACCTGTAAACATCAAAAAAGTCCAAGAAAAGCTTGAACTTCTTTGTGGTCAACATCCTTTTCACCATGTCTTACACATTCTCCTTGACACCAGACTTTTGAATGCATAACCTATCATAGAGCATGACAGACTTATCCACTTTTAAAAGAATACTCTAAACGAGACCAACCACTAATGATCTTATTTTCTCCAAATCACTTTCATGGTTTGTTTATATCAATCCAACCAAATCTGTATGTCGTGCATTGGCATCATACTCCAGACAAACCCTATATAAAACTAGGATCACAAAGTAGCATAAGAACCCTATAAAGGATTCCATATGTTAGATGTCATGCATAGTTTTTATTATTAGTTAATATTAAACAACTGAAAGTCATTAGCATTGATTTTATTAATCAATATAATCTAGAAAAATAATGTTTTCAATAGTATTCAACCATAGTGTAGAAATCTTAATGAGTTGGCTTGTATGTATTTGCAGGTATTCAACCATGGTATAAATTTTTTATGTATTTTGTGATATCGTAGGCTTTAAAATATAGTTGACTTATGTTTGAATATCATAGATTTCAAGACTGAGATGATCTATCATTCAAAAATTGTATATATCTATTTTAATTGCCAATTGTTTATCATTTACTGCAGTTAAAGCACTTAATCTAATGGCACTTGTTTAGCTATAATACCACTTGTTAGGAAGTAAATCAGAAAACAAACAAATCCAAAAGCACACAGGGCTCACAACGATTCCATAACATGCAACACATGAGTATCAACAACGCACATGATGGAGCACAGTGAGCCACAGTGGAGCATCATGATGCATAGGTAGCACATCATGAACACTAGTGGCCTAACATCCATCATGGTGGCACATAATGGTGTATTCCTTGAGCATCACCAACTTTTAATCATGTGTGGCTCCTCAGGGATACCATGGCACATCAAGGAACCAAAATGGCGCACCTTGCATCAAGATGGTGCATCGACATGATGATGACACATCTTGCATGATGAGGGCCCATCTTGTGCAAAGATGGCGCAACATCCTTCAAGCATGGAGCAACTTCCTTTTAAGTAGCACAACTTCCTTCCAAGGCGGCGTAAGAACTTCTAGGTTGGTGCAACTTCTTCCATTTTGGCACAATATCTACCAGAGTGGTGCAACATTATCTAAAGTAGCGCAACATATATGCTAATGGTGCAACATGCTTACCTAGTGGCGCAACATGCTTGCTAATTGGCCCAACACTTAATCGAATGGCGTAACTATTCATCAAGTTGCTATATTCCACTCCCAAGTGGTCCAAACCTCTTCCCGGTCCTCCATACCCCCCCCTTTAGAGAATCTATTCTTTTGACACTTGATTCTTTCCTTTGTCAGTTTATTCATTCCCTTCTCAGATGATCCGTTCCTTTTTTACATGCTCCATAAAGCCTAAGTGCTCCATTGAGTTCCAAGTGCTTTATTGAACTCAAATGCTCCAAATGCTTAAGTTACATTTAATAATTTACACATTGACTTGAGCATCCTCTAAACTCCACCTTAAACAAGAACTTCCTCTCCCTTCCTGCCATCAAGCCCTGAAAGGGCTTGCCACCTGTAAACATCAAAAAAGTCCAAGAAAAGCTTGAACTTCTTTGTGGTCAACATCCTTTTCACCATGTCTTACACATTCTCCTTGGCACCAGACTTTTGAATGCATAACCTATCATAGAGCATGACAGACTTATCCACTTTTAAAAGAATACTTTGAACGAGACCAACCACTAATGATCTTATTTTCTCCAAATCACTTTCATGGTTTGTTTATATCAATCCAACCAAATCTGTATGTTGTGCATTGGCATCATACTCCAGACAAACCCTATATAAAACTAGGATCACAAAGTAGCATAAGAACCCTATAAAGTATTCCATATGTTAGATGTCATGCATAGTTTTTATTATTAGTTAATATTAAACAACTGGAAGTCATTAGCATTGATTTTATTAATCAATATAATCTAGAAAAATAATGTTTTCAATAGTATTCAACCATAGTGTAGAAATCTTAATGAGGTGGCTTGTGTGTATTTGCAGGTAACAATCTTAGTTAGAACATGGTATAAAGTTTTTATGTATTTTGTGATATTATAGGATTTAAAATATAGTTGACTTATGTTTGAATATCATAGATTTCAAGACTGAGATGATCTATCATTCAAAAATTGTATATATCTATTTTAATTGACAATTGTTTATCATTTACTGCAGTTAAAGCACTTAATCTAATGGCACTTGTTTAGCTATAATACCACTTGTTAGGAAGTAAATCAGAAAACAAACAAAACCAAAAGCACACAGGGCTCACAACAATTCCATAACATGCAACACATGAGTATCAACAACGCACATGATGGAGCACAGTGAGCCACAGTGGAGCATCATGATGCATAGGTAGCACATCATGAACACTAGTGGCCTAACATCCATCATGGTGGCACATAATGGTGTATTCCTTGAGCATCACCAACTTTTAATCATGTGTGGCTCCTCAGGGATACCATGGCACATCAAGGAACCAAAATGGCGCACCTTGCATCAAGATGGTGCATCGACATGATGATGACACATCTTGCATGATGAGGGCCCATCTTGTGCAAAGATGGCGCAACATCCTTCAAGCATGGAGCAACTTCCTTTTAAGTAGCACAACTTCCTTCCAAGGCGGCGTAAGAACTTCTAGGTTGGTGCAACTTCTTTCATTTTGGCACAATATCTACCAGAGTGGTGCAACATTATCTAAAGTAGCGCAACATATATGCTAATGGTGCAACATGCTTACCTAGTGGCGCAACATGCTTGCTAATTGGCCCAACACTTAATCGAATGGCGTAACTATTCATCAAGTTGCTATATTCCACTCCCAAGTGGTCCAAACCTCTTCCCGGTCCTCCATACCCCCCCCCCTTTAGAGAATCTATTCTTTTGACACTTGATTCTTTCCTTTGTCAGTTTATTCATTCCCTTCTCAGATGATCCGTTCCTTTTTTACATGCTCCATAAAGCCTAAGTGCTCCATTGAGTTCCAAGTGCTTTATTGAACTCAAATGCTCCAAATGCTTAAGTTACATTTAATAATTTACACATTGACTTGAGCATCCTCTAAACTCCACCTTAAACAAGAACTTCCTCTCCCTTCCTGCCATCAAGCCCTGAAAGGGCTTGCCACCTGTAAACATCAAAAAAGTCCAAGAAAAGCTTGAACTTCTTTGTGGTCAACATCCTTTTCACCATGTCTTACACATTCTCCTTGACACCAGACTTTTGAATGCATAACCTATCATAGAGCATGACAGACTTATCCACTTTTAAAAGAATACTCTAAACGAGACCAACCACTAATGATCTTATTTTCTCCAAATCACTTTCATGGTTTGTTTATATCAATCCAACCAAATCTGTATGTCGTGCATTGGCATCATACTCCAGACAAACCCTATATAAAACTAGGATCACAAAGTAGCATAAGAACCCTATAAAGTATTCCATATGTTAGATGTCATGCATAGTTTTTATTATTAGTTAATATTAAACAACTGAAAGTCATTAGCATTGATTTTATTAATCAATATAATCTAGAAAAATAATGTTTTCAATAGTATTCAACCATAGTGTAGAAATCTTAATGAGTTGGCTTGTATGTATTTGCAGGTAACAATCTTAGTTAGAACATGGTATAAATTTTTTATGTATTTTGTGATATCGTAGGCTTTAAAATATAGTTGACTTATGTTTGAATATCATAGATTTCAAGACTAAGATGATCTATCATTCAAAAATTGTATATATCTATTTTAATTGACAATTGTTTATCATTTACTGCAGTTAAAGCACTTAATCTAATGGCACTTGTTTAGCTATAATACCACTTGTTAGGAAGTAAATCAGAAAACAAACAAATCCAAAAGCACACAGGGCTCACAACGATTCCATAACATGCAACACATGAGTATCAACAACGCACATGATGGAGCACAGTGAGCCACAGTGGAGCATCATGATGCATAGGTAGCACATCATGAACACTAGTGGCCTAACATCCATCATGGTGGCACATAATGGTGTATTCCTTGAGCATCACCAACTTTTAATCATGTGTGGCTCCTCAGGGATACCATGGCACATCAAGGAACCAAAATGGCGCACCTTGCATCAAGATGGTGCATCGACATGATGATGACACATCTTGCATGATGAGGGCCCATCTTGTGCAAAGATGGCGCAACATCCTTCAAGCATGGAGCAACTTCCTTTTAAGTAGCACAACTTCCTTCCAAGGCGGCGTAAGAACTTCTAGGTTGGTGCAACTTCTTCCATTTTGGCACAATATCTACCAGAGTGGTGCAACATTATCTAAAGTAGCGCAACATATATGCTAATGGTGCAACATGCTTACCTAGTGGCGCAACATGCTTGCTAATTGGCCCAACACTTAATCGAATGGCGTAACTATTCATCAAGTTGCTATATTCCACTCCCAAGTGGTCCAAACCTCTTCCCGGTCCTCCATACCCCCCCCCTTTAGAGAATCTATTCTTTTGACACTTGATTCTTTCCTTTGTCAGTTTATTCATTCCCTTCTCAGATGATCCGTTCCTTTTTTACATGCTCCATAAAGCCTAAGTGCTCCATTGAGTTCCAAGTGCTTTATTGAACTCAAATGCTCCAAATGCTTAAGTTACATTTAATAATTTACACATTGACTTGAGCATCCTCTAAACTCCACCTTAAACAAGAACTTCCTCTCCCTTCCTGCCATCAAGCCCTGAAAGGGCTTGCCACCTGTAAACATCAAAAAAGTCCAAGAAAAGCTTGAACTTCTTTGTGGTCAACATCCTTTTCACCATGTCTTACACATTCTCCTTGACACCAGACTTTTGAATGCATAACCTATCATAGAGCATGACAGACTTATCCACTTTTAAAAGAATACTTTGAACGAGACCAACCACTAATGATCTTATTTTCTCCAAATCACTTTCATGGTTTGTTTATATCAATCCAACCAAATCTGTATGTCGTGCATTGGCATCATACTCCAGACAAACCCTATATAAAACTAGGATCACAAAGTAGCATAAGAACCCTATAAAGTATTCCATATGTTAGATGTCATGCATAGTTTTTATTATTAGTTAATATTAAACAACTGAAAGTCATTAGCATTGATTTTATTAATCAATATAATCTAGAAAAATAATGTTTTCAATAGTATTCAACCATAGTGTAGAAATCTTAATGAGTTGGCTTGTATGTATTTGCAGGTAACAATCTTAGTTAGAACATGGTATAAATTTTTTATGTATTTTGTGATATCGTAGGCTTTAAAATATAGTTGACTTATGTTTGAATATCATAGATTTCAAGACTGAGATGATCTATCATTCAAAAATTGTATATATCTATTTTAATTGACAATTGTTTATCATTTACTGCAGTTAAAGCACTTAATGGATAATTTGTTGTCTTTTTTAGACAAAACTGCAAGATTGGTCCTTGTGGTATTTAAAAAACTTTGGATAGGGTCTAAACAGGTTTTCATTTGCATAAAAGGTCCAAAATTAGGGGGAGGGGTTGTGTTTTTTTGTCCAAAAAAACTTGAAAAGACGGTTATGCCATTTTATTTTCTTTTTTGTAGTTTTATAATTATTAAGATACTATTTTAATTTTTTTAAAAAAAGAAAAGAAAATAATTATCCCTCACCCACTTACCTCCACATCTCTCTCTCTAACACACACACACACACTCAACCGGAGAGCTTCTCATCCCCATCTCGTCTTCCATTGACAACCTTGAAAATCTCCAAGACGTGATTTTAAACTCCATCAAACCCATCGGAAAACAAACTCCTCAGAAAAATCCCAGGTGAGCTTAGGACCTACTGGAGTCTCAGGATTTTTTACCTATTTGACAACAAACTCGTCGGAGGAAACTACGACCTCATCGGAAGAAACAACGGCTTTTTCGGAGTTTGGTTCAACATCCTAATTTCACCGTCAACACTACCAACCCCTCTTTATACCCACCATCGGTTGAACCCTCTACCCTTCACACACTCACACACATGATGCAAGAAGAACATCGACTCGATCCTTGTTCATCCTTAGTTCCCAATTAATCTGCAACAACTCATCTTTATCCTGCTCATCTTACCTTCCCAATTTCAAGATCAATTCCATATCCCCAGGCTAGAGTACAAAGAACAAACCCAATTTCCCAAACCCTAGATGATAATATAATCGAAACCAGCATCACAACTCTTGTAACTCACTTTAATATGGTTTTCTTAGGGTAGAAGTTTGAAATCATATATGTTTAAGAGTTCTTAGCCTATAGGTTTGTCGTTTTCTTCTTCTAAGTAATCAGAATGAAACTTATGACAAAATACTTTTTAGAAATCTCGAAACTCTGACGTGTTTTTAGGGAAGTAGTTTTTGATTATGGGATTTGTATGGTTTGTTCCAGTTTTTTAGATTTTCTCCATTGAAGTGTTCTTGGGTATTTTTCCAAATTTTAATTGATTCCGTGTTTCAGATGATATTTGTATTTGATTGTTATGGGTTAAATATGTTAAACGATCTTTTGATTGAATTAATATGTTGAATAATTCTATTTATGATTTGAGATAAAGTTTTGGAGAGCTTTGATATTAATTTTGAATGGCTGTAGCTATTTTTTAAATGGTAATCAATGTTTATGCTTCATTTTTATTCTAATTTTTGTGATGGGTTTGATGTTGGTATGTGTTCGAGTTCCATGTGTGTGTATTTAGAGTTGCAGATGTGTTAATGTTTAGAGTTGTAGGTGTGTGTATGTCTGATGAGATTGTAGTTTTTATTTTTTATTTTTAATTATTTAAATACCAAAATAAATAAATAAAAATTAGAAAAAATAAATGAAAAGGGTAAAATCGACTTTTCAAGCGTATCAATGACCAAAAATCCAGAAAAATCTTGATTTTGAACCTTCCATACAAGTTGAAAACTTTTTGGATTCTATCCAAAGTTTTTTGTATACCATAAGGTCTAATCTTGCAATTTTATCTTTTATTATTATTATTATTATTATTATTATTATTATTATTATTATTTTTATCAGTAATTCTTTTTTGATGTCACTATACTTGTTTGTATCAAAATGTTTTGTACTAAGTATTTAACACTTATATAAAAAATATTAATGTTATATTTGTTGGAAATAAAGATATTGCAATTTTGATTAGTCTTTTCGACATAAACAATGTGTCCATTGGTGGTGTTTTACATCACATTGATTGCTTTTTTTCAAGGATTCAACTTATTATTAAAACAATCGATTTTACATGAATCTATTCTTAAACATTAAAATGAAAAATATATAGCCATAAATAAGATATATTTGAAATAAATTTTAATATATAGGTTTTTAAAAAACAAATATTGTAGTCTATGTTAATGATTATTAGATAGGATCATAGGAATATGTTAAGGGTTATCTATTAATTTAATAACTCATTATAATTAAAACAAAAAGAACCTCCCCATTCTAAAATTCAGAAAAATTCACCTAAATATCACTTGATGCAGCAAAAAAATTGCAAATTTTAAAACACTTAAAATCTTCTGATGAATAATAGATAGTTCGTTCGTCTAAATCGTTAGTTTTTCATCTATTCGACTAAATTTGTAATAAATTGAAGATATATGGGCCAAAAATGTTAAGGTAAAAGTTTAATGGGTATCAGCAGCTATTAAGATATAATGTAGGGACGAGTTTTCTAATATCGTCTCGTAACAAGCTGGGAACTTTACCGCTCTAAAACCTCCCCTCCCCACTCCCTTTTTAAGCCGCCACCACCTCGCGTATATATCACTTCCGTCGCCTCCGCATTCTGAAACACTTACCAGTTCGCCGGCGATCGTTGTCACGTCGACGGAGATAGTAATTAAACTTATCTATTTCTCATTACTCTTCATCTCCTACGTTTTGGAATAGGACCAGAGATTGCATATTCAAAGAGAATCGAGTTTTGATTGTTTTGATTATGATTGTTTTGCGATGAATTTATTCCTTTTCTATTGGCAGAAACCTGCTGAAGTCATTTGAGAAATGCAGATGGATGAGAGCAACGGCAATGGTGCCCCACAACCTCCGAGAAAGGTCTGTTCACTGTGCTTTTTTTTTCTTCAGAACTTAAAATATGATGGTTTCTATCGGAATGAATATGAATTTAGATGTCAGGCTTTGATGTAACAGTAATATGATCGAAAATTGGTTGATTTCAGATGAAGTTCAAGCCAAAAGCGCCTCCTAAAAGAGAGCAAAAGCTACTTTTACCCAAACCGTGAGTATTGATCGTATAGTTTGTAAAATTGGTTATATTGTATACTAGATGCACAACATGATCAATGTTTATGTGTGGTTGTATCGCATTAATGAATGATATGATTATAGTTGTCAAATGGGAACATAATATAAATAAGATAATATACAAACCTCCAAATCAAATAGAGTTTTTCTCTTGCTCAGTTAATTTGACATTGAGGTAGTTTGTGTGAATAAATTGTATGTGTCTAGTGAAAAGTTTGAAGATGATGAAGCTGATGATGATAAGGCAAAAGAACTGATGAAGATGTTCAAGGTATGTCTAGTCTTGAATTAGATTTCATTTATCTTATTATTCTCTTAAGTCTGCTTCCCATACATCACATTGGAGTTCTCAAGATTTTCCATTTTACTCTCTGTATTTATCCTTCTCTGCAAAATAGTATTAAATCCATCACCTGATTTTAAAGCTCCTTGTTTTTGCTCATTTGCAGGAAACTTCTAACAGACCAAAATTCAAAACTGAAACCAAGCGTAACTTTCCTTCTCCTTTCTCACATTTATTCCCCTCTCAGTTTTGGTGTTTATCTCTTTTCAAGGTTTTAAGCAACAACAGAATAAGTTCCCTTTAAACCAATAAAGATCTAAATCTGTGGTCATATAGAGTTCTCTAATATAGCCTCACTCTGTATACACCATAATTGCAGCCTCAGCACGAGTTTCATCATTTAACTTTGGTACCAAATCTGGAGGTGGAAATGCTGCAACCTCAAGCATTGGAGCAAAGGAATACAAGGAACCATGGGTAGGTTAAATACAGACTGAATTTCATCTTTCTGTAGTTTCCATTATTATCACTTTGAAAACTATTTTCTCTTTAAATTTTTGTTTTGTTAAACTATACTTCAGGATTACTACAAGTACTATCCTGTTACTCTACCTGTAAGGATTCCATACTCAGGAAATCCAGGTATGTTTTACTTTTGAAATATAGGTGCTTTATAGAATACATGTAATTCATTTATCATTCTTTTTTAAAAAAAAAAAAATTTACAGAGCTTCTGGATGAACAAGAATTTAACGAGGAGTCAGAAACCAATGCATACAATGAATCCTCTGTAAATCCCGCTGAAGAACTTGGTTTACTGGTTGGTTGCTTTCACTTATTTTTTTATACCTGGATGTATATAAAAAAATATAAAAAGAAAGAAATTTGACAGGAGGAAGACTTGGAAAAGAAATTAATTTTCTTTCAACTACCAGCAACAATGCCTATTCCAAATCAATCTGTGAAAACAGAGGGAAAGCCATTGAAAAATGCTTCAAAAGCTTGCAGTTTGAATGAACTTCCCGCAGGCTCTATGGGCAAAATGTTGGTGTATAAAAGTGGTGTTGTGAAACTCAAATTAGGAGATCATCTCTTCAATGTGAGTTCTCTTAGCAATGTACTTTCGTTTCATATGTTTATTATATTATCTTACTTTTGTAAAACTATAATCTTCAAATAAGTAAAAATAGAAAGAATTGAATGGGGTGCAGGTTTCTGGAGGTTTGGATTGTTCATTTGCACAGGATTTGGTTGTGATGAACAGTGAAGAGAAATATTGTTGCAATGTTGGAGAACTTAATAAGCGTGTCATTATCACCCCAGATATTGAATCTGTCCTTGACAACATGGATATATCATAAATTTATTATTTTTTTTTTTTTTTTTTTACAAATGGAAGAAGTTTTGATTGAATACAGTTTCTGATTATTGATATATAGATTTTTTCTACTCTTTATTCATATTATTATTTATGTTATCTAATCAAGTTTGGAGTTTGCACACATACATATAATCAGCTCTTGTTCTTTGATATTACTTGTTTTTATGGCATCGAATGTTTATTTCTTGCTGTTTACGCATTGTACTTCCAAGATTTTTACTACTAATTAAGTATAGCATTGTATTTCCCGTTATTTTTATTAGGGTATTGTACTTTGTAAATCTACCCAATTGTATGATTTATGTTTCAACTGCTTTATTATTAAGACAATGTACTGTGTTTTCATTTCATTCCTTAAATTTACAAAAAAAAGTTTTACACACACATAACTTTTGATAAATAAAACCTGTTAATAAGTTACTAAAAAGGACATTGTTATTTCTAGAAAAAGGTAACAAATAAATGAAAGTAAGATGTTGTATTACAATAAGACTTTTTTTGATGTGTTTGCATCATGACTAAAAGAATATTATGGTAAAGATCTGACCAAGGTGTCATACCGCTGTACTTATCGGTCTTCAACATGTTAAAAAATCATCACTAGTCCAATAGAACCAATCTTATTATTTAGAAGAAGTTAGATTGTTTTAGAATGTTCTAGAAGATTCTAGACATTAGGGAAGGCTATGGAAGGTTCCGGTTAATATTGGAAGACTTTAGAATATTCCAGAATGTCATAGAAAACCTTGGAAGGTTATGAAGAGTTTTGCTCGGCACAACATATTCCTACTAGATGCATCATCGTCATGTGATGACTCTAGTTTATGGTCATACTTTTGGTCTTAGTCATTACTACAATTTCAAAAGTAAAAGAAAAATTGGTAAATGAAAATTCCACAAAAGATATAGGAGTTGTAAACAAGAGGACAAGCATACATGTATATACAGTCGTTGTCCTTCTCAAATAACCGTATTTTATGGTTGTTGCAAGAAAAAAGAAACAAACACAAGATGTTACACACTCACACTATTAACAATGTTATATTAATAATCACATGCTTCTAAAAGCAAAAAGGAAGAATATGCCTACATAAATAGTTTGAGAAACAGACTTAAAAAAAGACATTCAGTAGACACTTGATGCTTTGGTGCTTATTAAGAACAATCATAACTTCCTTCATCACATAATAACAACGTAAACTTTTTCAGAATTTACGTCTAGTATTTCAGCTTTTAGACATAGCATAAATTGAACACTTGAATTACAACAAAAACTTTTAACACTTGAAAATAACATCAAAATAATTGTCATCTATTGTAAGGATAGTAACATAATTCTTTTGACTAAAGATCTTTTAAAACTTCTTAACCTTATGTGGTTAAAAATTCAATTGAAATTAAGATTTTTTTGCATCATTTAAATTAGGAAAAGTCCATTAAATAATGTTTAGACTTTAGAGCCAAAACCGTCAATTCTAGAAAGTTATTTTAGCCCCACCAATGTATCAGATGATGAAATTCGATGTATTAACTTTGTAACTTGACTAAATATCACAACATTTTAATTGTCAACTAATTAGAGACAACTCTCCCAAAAATCAGGGCTAAAGTTATGCGTTTGTTAAAATAGTTTACATCAAAAAGTGGAGACAAAAATATGTATGTTTATACACATGTCTAATTTTACTTTTTAATCATATCTATACAAATATCAAACTATAAATATATTAACCAAAGGAGCTTGTAGGCTCACAACTTTAGTCTCATAAGATGGTACTATTATTAGGCATCGGGTATTGGGGACACGCCAAGCAACACGGTTTCCCTCCATGCACCACCATTTTGTTCCAAACTATCGTTGGTGTACTTGCAATGATCACGATGAATAAAAAGAAGAGAGAAGAAAAGAAAGATAGTTTGCTATGGTCTTTCATTGTATGCACCACATATGCCAATGATTGTGGCACCATGACACCCCAGAATGGTGTGCACAGTCGTGATTTTGGTCAAAAACCGCATATAACACAAAAGAATGCCTAATTATAAAAAGATACCAATCATAGAGATCAAAACTACAAAAGATATACAAAATTAGATCACTAATGCACCACTCAAAATTTTGAAACAAAACCACAATTTTATTAAAAACGAGATACACTATTTTTGCAATTTGTCTTTAGATAAAATGACACACATTGAACACTAGTTACAATTCAAAACAATAGTTAATAAATTTTGAACTCACAACCCATAGAACTTTACGTTAGCCCACTGTTAAATGATTTGAGTCCGGAGTGATTTAATTTAATGTGTTAAAGTTGCCGCCGTTTGATTTGTGAGAGTGAAATGGTGATCCGAGATTTACCGTTTTCATTTGGCAATTGGAATCCATTCCTTGTCTTCTTTATGTATTCAAAGCAATGATTGATATGAAACTTCAAGAGCTGAACTATCATTTAATGAAGCCAAGTACGAAATTAATTTTTCTATTGTTTATTTGTGTCCGAGTGAGTTTTTCAAAACCTTTGATTTGGATAAACCGAAGGAAATGGTTACACTCAGGAAGAGTTTTCGAATAGAATACGATCTTTGAGTTTTTGAACTGTAACTTAATATTACATAAAGGACGACTGATTTTTTCAATTGAAAACTAGTGGAGATGTTGCCAAAAAGACAGTTAAAAATTAGAAGCATACAAGTGTGGAACATATAGTTTCAGTATTGAAGTTGATATAGATAGATATGCACAACAAAATGGTTGAGTAATTTTTAAGTGATATTTTAGTTTTTTATTGAAAAAAGTGTTTTAGAAATTATATGCAACGATACAATTATGAATATTTTTTTAAGTATAAGACCTTGTCGGATACAATTATAAGAACTTTAATATAACTATTGTATATATGTTTAAACATTTTAAAGCATACGACTCGACTTGACACTAGTATGTTCGACTCTTTCATTTTTATCTGTTTCATTGGAAGCATGTGTGTGTGTGTATGTGTGTGTGTGTGTGTGTGTATATATATATATATATATATATAGGTTATTCTATTCTAACTAATTATTTGTGTGGATGTAGAAATGACTGTGAGCCATTCATTTTACTTATTTAAGAAAGTGATTAATACATATTATTACATTAAAGATAATTGAAAATTCCTAGTTTTTTTTTTCATTCTAAGGGTATTTTAGTCAATTAACATAAATTTAAAAAAGGAAAAATGCAGATTTTTCATTCTATAGCCTAAGAATGTTTAGTTTGACCTTATTTCCTATTCTTGTTTGATGAAGGGATTAGGGTAAGATCAGATATTCGACTGTCTATAAGATCCAACGTTATGTATGATTAGCATACACGAGTGGCTGTAGGGTTGGTGGAAGTTTCATGAGTGGGTGCAGTGTGCAACTATTGGATTAAGTGTCTAAGCCCATAACTATTTTGGTAGGTACTTGACCCGATTGTGAGCATGGTCCTTTTGGGTTGCATTCACCATAACAACTGATAGGATGGACTAAGGAGAAAAATGATTAATTATGATTTATTAATATATTATGTGAATAATATATTAAAAGAGAAATCATATTGTTTAATTAATATTAGTCAAGAATTAATTAAGAACTAATTTTGTGACTAAAAGATATTAATTAAATAAAAGGGACTGATACTGTAATTATAAGATAGTTACAAAGTTGGGCTTAAGATCCATAAAGGAAGGATAGGCGAACTCTATATGGGGATCCATATAGAAATCGTCCAAGGGCCTTCTGGAAGGGTCTTTGGGCTGCTTAAGGCCTAAGCAGATGGATTAGGATTTCCTAGTTGAACCCTAGAAGCCTAAGTATAAAAGGAACCCTTTGCAAGCTAAAAACGTCTCTAACCTTCCAAGAGAAACCCTAGGACGTTTTTGGAGCCTCATTCCTCTCTCCTTGTTTATCTTGTTGCTTATGGTATTTGTGACTCCATTAGAGGTGCAACATGTGAGGCACTAAGCTTTTAGAAGTCAATTAAAAGAAGGATTGAGATTGTTATTGCTATATAACAATCAAGGTAAGATCTAAACCCTAATTCACATGTTAATTCGATTATTGTATGCTAGATCTAGGGTTTATGAGATTTGGATTATTATTATTGCATGTATATTAAACAAACTAGATCCAAAGCTTTAGGGTTTGCATGTACACCATAGAATTGATGTAGTGCTCAAATCACATTAGTGGTATCAGATCCTAGACTGTTTGTTTGATGTATTTGATGTTTTCATGATCATTCAAGGCTGAAAAACGCGAAAATTCACATTCTGATACTTGGACTCGAGTCGAGTACATATGTGAACTCGCTGAGTCCACTGGGTACTCGACGAGTCCAGCCCTGAATCGACGAGTCTGAGGGTTAGACTGAGGGATTTTCGGGTTTTTGAGCTGTTTTGGCTTTGGATAATTACCAAAAATGTTTTTTATTGATAAAATCCGATTTTTATTGATATTATGTGATTATCATTGCCAAAATAGAAGATAATTATCATTGAATTGAATAATTATTTCCTTATATGATAAAATTTGATTATTTGAATTATTTGATGGATTATCTTGCAAATAATTGAATTAGGTCATATTTAGATAATCACCAATTATTTGATTAATTGAATTATCTGTAGTTTGATGTAGATAGTTTTGAAAAGTTTCAAAAACTTGTTCTCAGGTTTGGAATTTAAATTTTTGATTGAAAATTTAATTTTGAATTTTTTTTAATTCTAAAACCCTAGTATTTTGAAAAGTTCAAATTACACCATTATCGTTTTATTAAGTTAATTAAGTGTATAATTAAAAGAGATTTAATAAATAAAAAATGATTTGGTTTGTATTTAATTAAACTAAAAGTATAATTTATTAAATTAGACCACCTAGTATTTTAAAAGTGTAAAATACACCCTTATACTATATATAAAATTAAAAGTCTAATATTATATATGTATGAGTAAAAAGTCAGTCTTACCGTTAGTAGACTTCATTCA